CAGACTTGCCCAAAATGAAGAACAGAAGGAGAAAGCTTTCCCTAAAGCAACTCATCAGATCTGTTTGGGCACAGGGACACTCTCTTAGAGCTTGTGTGGATAAGTTGCACTGAATAGTTCAAGGTTTTGCAGCTGTTTGGAATATTTGAGAAAAAGATATCTCTAAGTAATTGTCATGCATTTACATAGGCTGGACAAATTTGTTCTGTCCACCAAAGCTCTGAATTTTTGTGATCATATTATAATAATAACTAGGGGCCCAGTGCACAAATTCATGCACCTTGAAAGGAACTGTGGGCCATGAAACTGCGGTGGGCACAGGGGGGGGTCTCGGCCCATCCTACACGCCCCCGCCCAGCCCCTCGTGCCGCAGCCCCCAGTCCCATGTCTGCCAGCAGCCCTGCTCCCGCTGCCGCTACCACGCGCTGATGGCACTGGCCCCACTTGCACCCACTGACAGTGCAGAGCAATCGGAACCGGCGCCAGATGCCAGCTGCGGGTGCGAGCGGGGCCAGTGCTGTCAGTGGGTGCAAGTGGGGCTTTCATAAGCAGGGGTGCGAGAGGTGGCTGCTAGCCCCGATCGCCCCTCAGGAGCAGGGAGAGGTGGAGAAGCCCTGAGGGGCTATCAGAGCTCGCAGCTGCTGCTTGCACCTGCTGATGGAACCAAGTGATCAGATCGGGCGCCAGGTGCCGGCAGTGGGTGTGAGTGGCGGCTCTGGTGACAGCAGTGGGTGGGAGCAGGGCTGGCGCTGACAGCAGGTGTAAGTGCTAGGCGGGACTACTGCACGCGGGAGCAAAGAATTTTCAGTAACCAGTAGGGGCTCGCCCCGATGACAGTGATTGGTGCCCCGATTGGTCTGGCAGCCCCACTCACCTGCTCCACCATCCTGCTGCGGCCGATGCCCACCATGGTTCGTGCACATGCCCCCTGGTGGTCAGCGCATGTCATAGCAACTGGTTGGTTGGTTGTTCGATTGTTCTGTCATTCGATCTATTTGTATATTAGCCTTTTATTATATAGGATGTCTGGTTTTTGAGTGCTCACAATGGGTCCAAAACTATACTCTGCATTTTCTACATATAGTGTCATTGAATATTCATGCTTCTGATGTTAGGGGACCAGCTTATGAAGTTTATGTCAGTTTTTTTGTAGTACAAAAGTTTGTTGAGCTGTCTTCTACATTATAAACTTGACAAGTCCTTACTGTTGTTTTTGCTTATCTGATTGTTGGTTGTTGAATCTAGGGGATGCTTTGATTACTTCAATACAGGCAGCAGTGATCACTTCCATAAACAAATTGTTAGACATAGAACACACGTATAAATAGGTAGCATCTTCTAATTTACTGATTGTTGGTAAACTGAAAACAAGCCACTGAGTGAATAAACTTAAGTCAAACAATTGGAAGCAGGGCACTGTGGTATGTTACATAGCAGTTTCTAATAAAATGAACTGATTGACATATTTGCATATGGTTGAAAAGTGAAGAATTCTAAAACATGGTACTTTTATACATTTATCCTTTTATTATCCTAAAGTAACATAGATAAGGAAGATAATTTCATCTGAGTTAATGTATTTGTCTATTGTTTGTTTTTATGATCGAATCCTGTTTACTTACCTAGTATTACCTCCTACCACATAAAATCTACATACTCTTATTATCAAATGACTTGCAGATTTCTGACCAAATTAAGGCCTTTCAAAATTCTGTGCCTTAGCCTATGCTGTTCCCTCTGCCTGGAATGCCCTTCCATTTAAATACCACCTTTCCAGGTAAGCATTCCCTGATTTGTTCTGCACTACCAAACCCCGCTTCTTCTGGGTTGCACAGCACCCTGAGCATAACTCCGTCACCTCCTGTAATATGTGGTATTATACTTTTCTGTTTACTTGCCAGCTGCACTATGTTGTGACTCTTTGTAAGCATGGTCTGTCTTTTTGGGCTTATTTCTGTTTTTCTGCACCTCACTAAGTCTATACAGTATATGAACTTACTGATCAATTGTGACTTGAAGGAGTGAATACATTCATATAAATCATGCATATCAGTATTTTGTTACTTCCCCAACACACACACACACACACACACACACACACACACACACACACACACATTCTCACTACATTCTGGTATGTGTAGACTTCAAAAAGCCTCGTCTGTAATTTTGTTTTAATTCCTGAAGCTCAAGGTCATGACCTCGCGGAGTGACTACTATAAGAATGCACATTCATGTTAAGTCCTGTTGTTCTTGCCAAGTTACACCTTTTCGAGTGAAATTTCAGGGAGGTTTTATATCGGCACCATGGGAATGCTTTCATGTTAAACAGGAATGTGGAAGCATGAAGAGAAGTAAAGAATCAGGTCCAGACAACACAACAGATATTGAGCTAGAAGCCTGAGCTATGAAAGGAACACCTCTACTCACTACAGAATATGACTTCAGGTCAAGGGGCGATGGTGTCTGGCTTCCACTCTTCATTTGCTTGTCGCATTCTCTCTGTGCTTATCACCTAGTTCCCTTTTATAGGACATGGGAAACAGACATGTATTACTAGGGAGCAAGCTTTTACAACTATGATTTCATTCCATATTGTAGTTTCTCTCAAAATGGTTTGTTTTCTTCTCATGTATGTGTTATTATACACAATCAGATAATTCAGAAAGACTGTCCACACCTTTGTCCCCAGACCCCCAGCCTTACAATGCAGTGTGACAACCAAGAGAATCAGAGCCATGCCGGGCTCTGGACTAGACAAAGGCACAAATCCCATCTGGGTCTCCTTCAAAGCAAGCTGCTGTTTGCAACAAGCTACCAGATGGTGGTGAAAAAGTTCTTACCTGTTTACTTAATGGGTGACTGGCCTCTTTGCTTTTATTTAGCCATCTGTTCTGGTCTATGTCCCTTTAACTTGTAAGATCCATCACCTCATTTAAGCTGTTACCTTGACACATTGCAATGTTGTGGACATAATGCTTCTACAGAGGCGCAAATTAACTTGGGTTTTCATGATTAGAAGGTTAAATGGGGTAAGGCTGTGGTAGTTAGTGGTGAGATAAGGGGTTTTGAAGAGGCAGAACTCAAGGGAATTTCAGACAATAGAAAAATTAGGCTGGTTAGACAGAGGGATGGAATTTTTACAAATTACAGAGGCTGAGTAAGAGCAAAAATTCCCTTTGGGTGTCTCTGATTTGTGGGGGCTTATCTTCTGGCCAGAGAGACACTATGACCATGGGCCCAGAGAGGATAATGGGCTAGCTTTGGATTTCTTTTCTCCTTTTGGGACATTCTGTAAAGAGCAAAAAGAAACTGATTACACCAAGAAGTGGTAATCTAGAACCACAGCAATAACCTCAAACATATTTAGTCATTCCCAGAAAGATATTTGGTTTCCCTTAAGTTTAAAGAAGAATCAGGGGCCAAGCACAACTTCATGGAGGAACAGTTTGTGTGTCTTCGTCCTGGATTTGAAAGCAGAGTTCCAACCTTGACCTTAGCCTGACTCCTTGACAGTTCCATCCAGATCACCAATCAGGCTCTGAACACCAGGACGTAGGAAGCCCAGGCCTCTGTCTTCTTATTGTATCAGTTCTGGCTCTACCCATGCTGGTCTCACCTGAAATAACCAGTATTATTACACTTACTGAGACTCAAAATATTGGGCATCTCTGAATTTTCTTTCTGCCAATTCTATCCAACCAGTAACCAAGTTCTCTGCCTTTTACCTACATTTTCTTATGTCTTTTCCCACCTTTTTATTCCCCCTGCCACTGCTCTAGTTTTCCATCCCTCATTACCTCTATCCTAGCCAATTGGAATAACCTCCTAAGTAGCTCCAACTTTTAGTCTCTTCCTGCTCAAAGCATCTTAAATACTGAGGTTTGGTAGTAACTTATAACAGTCACCTTAAAAAGTTAAACAGAAGCCTCCTTTGGTTTACTATCACCTAGCAAATTCAGTGAATTGCTCAGCTTGGTATCCAAGGCCGTCCCTAGAGTTATCACTTGTGTTTCCAGCATTTTCTAGTTTTCTGTGCCCCAGTAAAACAAAGTGGCATATGGTTAGGAATAACCCCATGTTTCCTTGCCTCTTTGCTCTGTTCCTTCCTCCTAGAAAGCCCTGGAGGATATTTTAGTAAGCTCAGGCTCAAATACATCTCTGCTTTCCCCAATCAGATGCAGTTGCTCCTGCTCTTGTTCCGTAGCAGCACATTTCGGGGATATTCGTATGATGCTTGCGCGGATTTGTTCCTGCCCTATTGTTAGCTTTTCATGTCTTACTTGTGCATATCTTATAGCACAGGTTAAAGTTTCCTTTGCGTAGAGGGTGCTAGATAAAGACACAGGATAATGATTGATAGTGGGACTTTGTCTGTAAGAATGCAAAAAACTTACCCATTCATTCATTCATTCATTCATTCACTCAAGCGTTTGTTGGGTGTCTATTCGTATAGTATGTAAGGTACTTGGAAACAGAGATCAGTATGACATAGTATATCCCAGTTCTCCAGGAACTCACAATTACATGGAGGGAGAGTCACATAAATAATTGTACAATGAAAAGTGTGCAATAAAAGTGCCTTCAAAGTATGGGAGTAGCAGGGCTTCTTACTTAGAGTAGGGTAAATATGTTGGGGATATGGTGAGGAGGAAACCGAGCAGTTAACAAGGGCTTCCCATGGTTGGGAACGTCTCTTTGGGATTTGAAAATTGAATAAGAGTTGTCAGGGAAGATAGACGGGTAAGAAAGGGTAGGAATGGAATGGAAAGATAACCCAAGAAAGCTGCTTTGATTACTCTCAGAGGCTTAGCACACTAAGGCAAACTAGTCACCAAATAATTATTTTCTGTTTCCAGATAAAAATATCCCAAATGACAGCCTCCTTTGATACCTGTGAAGGAGAAAGGGAGAGTAATAAAGGAACCTCTGTAACTGCTTTTTGTTGAAAGTCATTCATTCCTTCTTCTCTCTCTCTCTTTTTTAAAAATGTTTTATAGAGAAAGTCTGTGATTGCAGTGAGCTTCATAGCAGCGTTTCTCTTCCTGCTGATTGTGCGCCTTGTAAATGAAGTGAATTTCCCATTGCTGCTAAACTGCTTTGGACAACCTGCTACAAAATGGATACCATTCTCCTACACATACAGGCGGCCCCTTCGAACGCACTATGGATACATAAATGTGAGGACGCAAGAGGTAAGACCTCAGAGGGTTATCTGGGATTCGAGGGTATCCATGGTAACAGATTTTCTTTAGGAGCAAGATGCTTTCCAGTCACTGAACTGGCTTTCGCTGCCCCACTGAGCTTCTCTGGGGCCCTGACATTTTCTCTATTCTCATTGTTAGATGGTTACTGACACACGTCTAAAGTCTGCTGGCCCTTCTGATTCACTGGCTTCATGTGGAGTTGAGGAAGCAATTACCTGTTTTCCTGGTGGTTTGTGGCATAACATACACATCTCTCCATTTATTAACTCTGATAAGCAGTGACCAGCTAGAGAAGTAGCTGGTTTTATTTCCTGGGGGTCAACTGGTTGGGGACAGCTCTTTGTAGAATTGCAGAAGAGCATTTATACTTTTGAAAACACTAATTCTGAGACCTGGAGCTACACAAAGGCCAAGCTGATTTTCAAATTCTCCATGGCTGCAGAGAAAATGGTATTTAAAGAGTTTTCAAATTTAAAGGGCTTAAAATCATTTCAATCCTGTAATCTCTGAACCTTCAAGTCTTTGTAGCCAATTGGTGGTACAGAAGAGACTGGAGGCATATTGAAAGCGGGGAAGTGCACACTAGATTAGCACTTTCGCAAGCAAGGATTTGTATCATGGAGTGAAGAAAAAAGTAATGAACCTCACAAAATGTGAGACGTGCACAGAAGTGATTAATAAAAGTGTTATCTCTGTTTGTTTCTATGTAGTGGGGTGAATGTGAGGTTAATATTCATAGATGCAAAGTCCGCATTTGAAGTTGTTGGTAACAAAGGTACAAGTTGTCTGTGTGTCTACATCCCAGAGAAGAGTTTTGGATCAGATCTCATTGAAGGGTCATTTTATGAAGATACTAGAGAGGAAAGTTACGCACAGCACAGAATGCTACTCCTGTTCTGAGTTATTCTTCGCATCCAGGGAGGAGGTGAGAGCTGGCTTTGTACATCCCCTCTTGTAGGCAATATCATACCTGAGTCTTTGCATCTGGTTAATTTGATTTTTTGAAAACAGTTTCTGTATCTGCAGGATTTACAAGCTATTTATTAGACCTTTATAGTTAGAAAGAAAAAGGCACCATTAACTACACTTAAATTCTTAGGAGCCTTGCTTGATGTTTATCCTTTAAATGGTTTCAAATTAATTTTTTTAAAAAGGGTCCATGGCTTGAATTTGTTGCATGTCCTATTAATTGATTTCCTGTATAAAAATGATCTCAGAGAATAGTTTGTCTCGCTCTTGTCTTTGTTACTTTTATTTCTGGCTGTCAATTAGTATTCTGTAACTCTACTGGATCGTGTTAACCACTTCACAAGGACCTGTCACAGGCAGAAACACACGCCTGAAGTTTTTCACAAATTCCTCTCAGGAGGGAAATCCACCTCAAATCAAGGACCCTTTCATTTGTTTAAATATTAATGGATTGGATTTTGAAGTGTTAAGGGAAAAAGTGATGTATGGAGGCTGTTATTAAATTAGTCATATTAGCTAAGCTACCTTTGATATTCTTTTGGTGTAGTTTTTAATATGACTTTACACAGGATATTGATAATTATTTTGACCCTACAGAGGCTATTTTTTGGAAGGAAACATAATTACTGCAGAGAGTTTTGTTTGTTTGTTTGTTTGGTATTTTTAGGCTTCAAAAGCACACAGGCATGGCTTGAGTGAAGATAGGGTTAACCATATCAACTAGCAAAGTTATTATGAGGATTAAATAGGGCAAAGTGCATGAGGTGCCCAGTTCCTAGCTGATGTTCAATGAATGAAGATTTTTTTGTTTTGTTTTGTTTTTTACTTCTCTTATACTTACCAGTTATGACTTGAAGTTCTCAGTATGAATAAACACTGAAAGACCACAGCCCAGAATAACAAACTTTGCATTTAAATTTTAAAGACTTTGAATTCAGGGCAAGTAATTAGAAATCAGGGTTTTGCAAATTAAAACCACAATAAGAAGAGAAAAAAAATGCATATTACTGCACACTAAATATCAAATTGGCAAAAAATTAAGAATCTGATAATACCAAGTGTTGATGAAGGTGTGGAACAAAAAGAACTCTTGTACACTCGTAGGTAGAGTATAAACTGGAACAACCATTTTAGAAAAAACAGCTTCCTATTATCCTGTAAAGTTGAAGATCTACATAACCCATGCCCCAGCATTTCCAGTCATTGATATATTCACATGGCATGCATGGACAGTAGGTACTGCAGCATTGTTTGTGATCACAAGAATCTGGAAACAACCCAGATGTCTATCAGTAGGAGAGTGGGTGAAAATTGCGCTACATGCACTAAAGTACTATACAGCAATAAAAAATGAAGCATGTGACAACATGAATAAGACTTACACAAATATAGTTTTGAGCAAAAGATCCTATATAATAAAAGGCTAATATGCAAATTGTTCCCCTGACTAGGAGTTCGACCAGGAGTTTGACCAGGGGACATGGCCAGCCAGCCAACTGCCTGTGGCCCCTCCCCCAGCCATCCCCATTCCCATCCCCAATCGCCCCCTCTCCCACCTTGATCAGGGGTGGGGCCAGTTGGCCAACCTCCCACATCACGTCCCCCTGGCTAACCTGGCCCAATCGGCCCTGATCAGGGCAGGCCAGCCGGACCCCACCAGTGCACGAATTCGTGCATCGGGCCTCTAGTGCAAGAATAAGATAATACACACAAAATGATTCCTTTATAGATCAGAGGAAGAGGCAAAACTAAATGATGTTGCTTAGGTGCATACATATAAGGTGCACCTAAAAAGAAACAAAAAGTAACATAATTATTATCATACAATTGAGAAGAGCAGTTACTCTGAGAAAAATGTGTGGTTTGTGAGCAGTGTGCATTCCTGGGACACCAACAAAGATGCTACCTCTTGATCCAGTTGAAAGTGACATGGGTGTTCACATTCTAAATATATTTTTAAGTATCCATTCATGTTGTATGCACTTTTCTGCATTTCTATTGTATAATGAAAATTGCAAAATATATTCTGAGCCCAGTAGGATATTTATTGACCAGGAATTACACAAAGCATTTCACCTTATTTAACAGTAAGAAATAACTAAAGAGAAGCAATGAGGCATTAAGCTAGCTAAAACAAACTAGGCATATTTACAATTGGCAATTTCATGTTATGCAAAAAAGCTAGTAGATATGCAGGTAACTTATTCTTGTAGTCTATGCATGATAGAAAGGCCCCATAGAACATGAGTGAAGGGGATGAGCAGAAAATTTTGCATGGGAGTTGGAAAACAACATAATACCTAAACAAAATGATGGATTTTTGGATTTTCCTCCATCTCAAACGCCTCTAGGTTACATTGACAGGGAAGCAAAATTTGCAGGCTGTCTACCTTCCTCTTCATTGATTTCATCTTTTCTTCTCACAGTTCCAACCCCCACCATCCCTATGTCTGTACTTCATTTGTACTCAAATGCTCTGCACATTGGTTCTCACCAAATAATGGCTTCAGGTGCAACCCTACCCAGAGATAGCTGCATTAGATAAGATTCTGGAGGAAAAGGTCTTCAAGAACCAAAAATAATACAGCTAAAATGCTAGATGGTGGATTGGATATTTGGAGAAAATGGCTTCAATAGGGCCCCTCAAAGCTTGCTCCAAAAGCAGCCTACGTCCCCATTCTCACCCAGAGAAGGGTCAATAGCTGTGGCCGAGCTGAGCCAGGTGAGCACCGAGCTCATCTATTTATTTTAAGACCTTGTTTCTCAAGGTTTTCTCAGAAGTTTTTCAGAAGAAAGCACATGCTTACTAGAAACCAGCAGACTTGCAAGAAATATTTTAAACAGGTAGACATATGAGCAATGATTTCTAGATCTACAGTATCTGCAAACACAATCATTGTTGATGATAGTTTTATTGGTTGATGCTTCAGCTAGGCCAGACATTGCTGGCACTAGACGAAGATTTTTATGAGTGGAAACATACATGAGAAAAAAATGTCTCTCCACGACTGTCAAATGCAAGGTGGGGATGGGGGTGGCTGAATTAGGTTGAAGATTTAGTAGACGCAGTGGAGAGCTGGGTTGCTTAGGAGCAAAATCTGATTCTCTGGTTATTTTATTTTATTTTATTTTTTTAAATGAGATGAGTTCCGGTCCCTTTGGCTTGGCCCAAGTGGAAGTATAGGCAATCTCATGAATCTGTGACAGTCTGCCCTGAAGGCCTCACATTTAGTAAATTATGCCCAGTTCAAGCTCAGCTTCATTTTATCAATTCACCCAGTTTTTGAATGATCTGTTCCCGAGGAAAGTACAAAAAGTAAAAGATAAGGAACACAGGAAAGATAAACCTGGGACTTGCTTATAGTTTACACTGTTAGAATATTGTTTTCCTAATCCAGACCCATACAAAGGAATATGTTGTGAAAATCATGAGGACTATGATAGAAATAATTGAGCACTGAGATAGAAATAATTAGAATAGAAGTAATTAAATACTCCCCCCACTTCATAATGACCACATATACCATGCATGCAGTTGGTGACTGGCTCCCATCTTTTGCCCTGTCTCCTTCCCTTTCTCAGCCAGTGTGAGCTAAGGTTCTTATATTGGCGGAGGGGAAGTACTGAGAATCAGGGAAGCAAAATGAGTGCCAACTAACAGGATGAGTGCTGGTATCCTGAATTTTGCTGGCCACAGAATTCCTCATCCATTCTATGTTTGAGCCAACAACGTATGAGGCAGTGCCAACCGAAAATTTGGACCAGAAGTGATTTAGATTTTGCAAGAGGTCCTATATTTCCCTTTGCTCCCCACCCCCATTAATTTTCTGGCCCACTAGCTTAGCTGCTCAGACTTGCCCTGCCAGGTCATTACTGTATTAATAATGCAACCCTCCATTTAAACAGGATTATTTAGGGGACCCCACCTGTAACATTAGAGCAGAATCGCTGTATTATTGGTTGACCTTTGACATAATATAAAACATAACCCCATATGTGTTTGGAAAACGAAATCTCTG